GACTGTTTTTAGTCTGTTTGAAGTTCAGATTATGTGTATGCCTACAAAAGACTTTTTTCCTGGATTAAAAAGAAAAAAAAAAAGAAAGAACAAAAGAGTTTTTAATACATGAATGATGGTAGTGTTGAAACAGTGGTTCCTCACTGGGATTTATCCTACCTGGCCAACTTGTTCTGTGCTTTTGTTTTACACTGTAGGGTGTAGAACWATGGGATRGTTTGGGTTGGAMGGGCCCTCAAAACCCATCCAGTCCCATCCCCTGCCATGGGCAGGGACACCTTCACTGTCCCAGGCTGCCCTGGAGCCTTCTCTTCTCCAYGCTGAACAGCTCAGCTATTTAACACTTTTTAAAATTATATTTTCTCCTCTTTCTTTGAACGATTAAAGAGAAGAATCCCAGATTTATTGCATACTCCACAACAGAGAGCAACTCTAGTTTTGCTTTCTTCAGATAGCAAACTTCRCTCTAGACTGAATCGCAAATGAAGGTGCCCAACTTTCCAGTCCCTGATTTTCTCATGAGTATTATTTAAAAATATCTCTCAAGAAAGTTTTTGACAAGTTTGGAGCCCACTGAAWTCAGTGACACTATAATTTTGCTGTGCAGCCACTCTCCCCTTTGTGTTCTATTTGGTTGAAGGAAACTCCAAATCCTTTATATTCCCCTTCTCCAAACTCTACTTCTCTACATGAAAATGAAAATGAAACCCATTACAAGAAGTTCCTCTTGCAGACGCTGGATAGATCAGGCTTCATTGCTTTTTGCATTTTGCAGTGTTGCCAGAATAAATAACATTTTCCTATTCCCGCTGTGTCTCACAGCATGAAGACAGCAGCAGTGATTTTCTGTAAAACCTTTCCTGCTCAGAGTCCTGGGGTTYCCCTGGTTTCTTTTTGAAGTGTTTAGGGGGATGATTTGCAGAACTTAAAGTGGTATAATCCAGTAAACTTGACACTGCTGACCAGGAGTTTGGCAGAAACATTCTGATCCTCCACTGCAAAAAATTTGCATCCRTGGAGCTACTCTTCAGCCTGTCTTCTATTTTATATGTGCTGATCTGTATGCTTGGACCACTTTCCTTCAAACAAATTCTAAATTACATGCACATCCCTGAAGGAGTGATGCAAATAGTGAATGGAATGATTGGTTGAGCAGGATGAGATCCTTATCCAGGATGATGGCAGAGCAGGCAGCAAGAAGTTACCCTGATCCYGGTGGATGGGATTTGCTTTATTTCAGTGTTGAACTGGAAAATCAGAAGTTGTTTTTGGTAGGGATTATTTATTTTTAGATATCTCATAAATGCCCACATGGCTGTAATTTGTATTACAGCTGGAGAGGCAGAAATTTAAACCTTGTGTCTAGATACTGTGTTTAAAAAGAGAAATTCTGCAATTCCTGGGTTGGTTTAATCTTCCCTTCACTATGTTCTCGGAGAAGGGGCATTTGTTCAAGGTTTCTGTCTGGAAAAGTAGGCTGTGGAATGGGTTCACTTTTATGATTTTTTGTAAAAAGCATCATGAACTGAACAAATCCAAACTTAGTTCTCATTTTGCAGTGGCAATGAGAGGCATCCTGCGACAACTCCAGGTTAAATAAGGTATCTTCAAAGGTACATAAAAAAACATATCACCTAAAAAACCCAAAAAAGGTTCATAAAGATTTAGTGTGACAGTGGTGCAAAAACAATCTAATGACTAATATCTTGCTTTTCAGATAATATGTCTATTTTTGTTCTAACATGTCTATGTCTCCAACATCTCTTTTTTATTTTCCAAGTCCCTGCACACATTTGTATTTTGTGATGTGCTTTTCATGTTGCTTCTGCTGAACTGTCTCTCTCTGTGAAAAGAAATTAATAAAGCTAAACCAAAGGGAAGGTGATTGACTGTCCCAGTTGGAAAAAAAATTGTTATAATAAGCTCATAACATTCTTTGGGAATTGTACTTGTATAAAATGCTCTTTGAATTGAGTTTCAGCATTAAAATTTATGCACTCGTTTGGTATCATACTTTTTCCTTCAAGAAAGATAAATATTTCAGTCTTTGAGCAGTGTGAAACTGRAAACATTCAGCAGTAGCCCTCGCTGCTGGAATTCCTCAGTGGGCTGCTGAGCAATTCCAGTGATGAATAGTCTGTGTTTGCATTTGGGAAATGTGCAGYAATCACTGCAAGGATAAAGCACTGCAGACACAGAGATGGAGAATCTTCTCTGATCCTTGCAGAGGCCATTTGAATGGTTGTTATGCTGTTTTGTAATTTGATGTCTCTTAAGGAAGTTGAAGGGTTTTTCTTTGGTTCCAAAAAACTGCTTAATGGAAAAAAAAAGGCATTTATTGTGTGCTTAGCAAAGCATCCATTAAAACTTGAGAAGCTGGAGATCCTCCTGGGGCAGTTTAAATTTCAGAAAACGCTCACAAAAGCAATTACATTTTTTTAATGAATAATTTATTTGGGGTGCTTTAGATCAGATTCTTGTTTACAGTTTCTCACCTTATGCATTTCAGCTTGGTAATTGGTTTGGTCTGTAGAGACAGGTTTTTCAACTCACCTAAATCCCCTGTCTGGAGGGAATCAAGAGTCAGGATGGGATCTGTGGTGTCTCCAGGTGCTGTCATCCTCCTTACTTGTTCTGTGAACTCATTTTTTTAGAAAAGAATGTTATAGAAACAAACTGAACAATTGAGTCTAATGTGGTTTTATTTATTCCAATAATAATATATTTTAAAGCATTTTAACAAGCCATGACAGAATCTGAGGGTTGTCTCAGGAGAGTTTTTTCTAAGATCAGCAACTTGTGGCATCAGGACTTCGATTTGAGATAGCTACACCAATTGCTACAAATATCTCATTTCCTCACTCATTTCTCCTCTTACAACACTCAAAATCRATTAAATATTTGCATCTGGAATTTGCACCAACATCTTTCTTTCCTTAACACTGTTTTCAACAAAATCAGACTGATTTTCTTCTTTTCATTTGCATCAGTGTTTCCAAAGAGGGCTGGTTGGTATTTTATGTTGCTCTCGCCTACTTTATAAAAAGAAAGTTAATTTATTTTCTGGAAGAAGGCAGCTTAGAAGTGTTTGTGTATTGCTTTGCTAAATCTTTGGGATCTGCCTTAATAATTTTTTCTGGGACAGTTGGCTGGGTGTAACCCTTTAGGGGACATGATGTGGATATTTGCATTTCYTTTGTCATGCAGTGATGTATTGACTCCAGCTGGTGCAGGAAAAAAGGGCTCAGATATATCCTACTGATGGACCAATTCTTCAGTGTGAATATCATATTTAGGCCCAGGACTCTTGGAGAATGAATTTTCTAAATTTTCTTTACTGGCATCTTCAAAATAGAGCCATCAGGCAAAGCTGCCCACATGGAGTGTGCAGCAGTTGAGTTGTCTTGAATTCTGCAGTTATTTTATAATGGATCTCCCCCATTCCAGARCATTTTGCTGTGAATTCTGTGGGTTTTGCTGCTGGCTCTGCATGCACTGGGGCTGTTGGGTCAAGCAGCTCTTTCTGGATGTGCACAGGGTAAGGGAAGTCAGCCTGGAATTCTGCAGTGTAAGGCTTCTCTGCACAGTGCCAGTTCCACAGCCACAAGCTGAAGCATCATTAGATATTAMTTTTCCATTTTAGATTAGGTCCCCTAGAGGACTGGGGTTTTTTGAGCCTCTTCTCTTCAGCCCTCTAAGACAAAATCTGCCCTCATGTCTGACACAGGTGTAGATCCTGCTGAACTTCCACGTTCATCCATGAGCACCTCCTTCTGGAAATGTGGCAGACCCTGAAAAGAACCCCACAAGTTTGGAGGAAAGGGTCTTTTTAAAATATCACCAGRTTCTCCCTAAAGCCCTTTTAGCTAAATGTGCTGCTGCTGTGCACCAGGCTGACAATTGCTGGTAAAATTGCCTGGTAAATGGTAGTAATCCTAAATACCAGTCTGTGTGAACTGAACACCTACTTGGTAGTTTGGGGAATATTCCTCTAAGCCCTCTAAATTGCTGGGCATTGCAGATTGCCTGAAAATGAAAGCACGAAGCAATTGATTCTTCTGCCTGGCAATGCTGTCCTCAGATTTCAGTTCACTTAAAAAAGTAATAACCTGAGGTGAAAAATAGAAATACGAAGACAGRAATATTTTTTGGAGAGGATTTATTTGAAAGTATTCACTCCAGGATTGCATTTGGTATTACATATCCAAGATAGATTTAGTTTTGGTCACTCCATTTACTCAGCTGGAAGRTGGAATGATGCAAACAAGTCCTGTCCTTGTCCAGTGTTTCTCTGGAAGGTGAAGAGCTGAAACAGGAAAGAAATTCAATGCAGAAACTTGGTGCCTGAGTTCTCTCATAACAGCCAGCTGTGCACGTTTTATGGAAACTGGGTAATGGAACCTAAAAAATCTCATTTAAATGTAATTCAATTACAGTGCAAACTGTCTGAATCCTTTTCTKCTTTTAGCTTTAACTTTTTGGAATAGGTCTAAAATCAGGAAAGATGTGCTGAAGGTTGAAGCATGAAAAAGCTTTTGTGATTTAAGTTAGAAATTTGCTTAAATGTTTCATTTAGTGTGCAAATAAAACTGGGCATTCTTTTCACAGCTGATGTCTCCCCCAGAGGAAGAAGGCAAATTGCTGAAGGGAAAAAATAAACTAATTTCTATGGGATAGGTGAATGTCTAGAGGAAACACAGTGTTTGCAGACATGTCAGATTATSTAAAAGCTGAGTATATATTATTAGAAAAAAATCAATTTGCTTCTGAGTGTTCCCTTGGCTGGTTGCTTGCATTGCTCCATAGGTAACACTAATGCTGGGGAGAATATTTGTATGTCATGGGTCTGGTGGGAGAGAATGTCTTTTCCCATTTACTCCCCAAAAATGTGGGATTTTAAAGTTTGTACGATCATGATTGCTTTAATAAAGAAAAACAAACCAACCAACCAGACTAGGGCTAATTACAAAATACCACAGTGATGTGTTTTCCTCTCTCAGTTGCATTTTCAGGCCTTGGCTTCACCACCTTCTACCTGGCTGGGAAGCTGCACTGCTTCACGGAGAGCGGCCGTGGGAAGAGCTGGCGGCTCTGCGCGGCCATTCTGCCGCTCTACTGCGCCATGATGATCGCCCTGTCACGSATGTGTGACTACAAACACCACTGGCAAGGTGAGTCTGGAGGGACCTTGCCTTTTTCCTGCTTTTTTTTTAAAAAAAATTATGTATGCATTTCTTTGATTTTTGTAAAATTACATTTTTTTCATTGCGTTCATTTAGCTGCCGATAATGGGAATTAAAACACAGCGGTGTGCTATGGATTTTCCTTGCTCCTGGATTGATGCTGGGGTTTCCTAGCAAGGTTGAATTGGCCWGCACTGAGCTTCAGAGCTTCAGGTCTCTGCTCCAGCACCCTCCCCTCCCTCACAGCAGGCACTTTTGGGGTGTAGCACCAGCCACATCAGCTGCATCAGTCACTGTTGTCTCAGTCCTTCAAAATTCAGGTGTGACACGTAACTSATGTAGAAGGCTGTGCTATCAATTACACACCCATATTAGTGAGTTACAGTTCAGAAAACCCTGCCATCTGTTATTTCTTTCACCATTTCTTGCCCCTCTTTATTGACACCTTTGTGGCAATCCTTGCTTCACTCATGTTTCCTACTAAGCAAGTTTGCAATCACCTTTTTCCCATGAAAAATGCCATACATGGAATTTCTCCTTTCAGTTTCCTGTTTCACACTTGTTACATGCTGTTCCATATTTTTCAGCACTGTGGTAGATTGACCCTGGCTGGACACCAGGTCTGTCACTGCCCTCCTGAGCTGGATGGGGGAGAAAAAACATAGTGAAAGGTTCCTGAGTCGAGATGAGTTGGGGGAGAGATCCCAGGAGCCCCCCTGCCCTCCTTCCTCCCTGACCTGGGTGTCATCAGCAGGGTTGTTTCTCTCATGTTCTCACTCCTCTCTCCAGCTGCCATTGCAGTTCTCCACATTTTTTTTCCCCCATTTTTTTTAAAATTTGTCATCCCAGAGGTGCTCCCATCATCCCTGTTGGGCTCAGCCTTGGCCAGTGGCAGATTCATCCTGAGGTTGGCTSTGCTTTACCTGGTGCAGCTTCTGGCAGATTCTCACAGAAACCACCCTTGCAGCTCCTCTGCTCCCAAAACGTGGCCCAAAATCCCAGTTTGGAGCCATCTCATGCTGTTGGTTCTTACACAGTTCCAGTTCAGTGCTGCACATCCCCGTCCCCTGTTCCCCTTCTGCACATCCCCGTCCCCTGTTCCCCTTCCCATCTCAGCCAGCAAGCAGCACCCAGAGCCAGTCTCAGCCCTGCTTCTCTCACCCTGCTGTGCTCCTGCTGCTCCCCTGCAGTTCTTTATCACCAGCCATCAGCCCTGAGGAGTTCTCTGAGAAATCTCCTGTTTTCCAGCAGAGCCTTGTCTTGTTTCAGGACTCGTTATTCTCCATTTCTCAGCTGGAGCTGGAGGGAGCCTCCAGCATGAAACTGCTGAGCAGGAGCTGCTGCCTCTTAGAGTGGCAGGAGGGACAAAAATCACTTGGCACTTGACAGAAAACAGACCCTTGAGCTGTCTGTTAAAAGAAGGAGTGTGAAAAAATGTGGAGAGCACAGGTTTCCTCTCGAGTTTGGAACGCGTGTTTGCAGTGTGCAGTGTCTCTTGCCAAGAGTACGAATTATTTATGGACTGAAAAGTGTTCTGTGAGGCAGGTTCTGCTGGTGTGTATTGGCACAGGCTGGAGGAGAACTGCACCCCAGGGGCTGTGCCTGGGTTCATCACTCGTGTTCTGTCTGAATTTGAGAGAACTGGAGCTCTTTTCTCATCTCTTCCCGAGCTGAGGACAGCGCTGGCAGAATTGTCCTGCTGGTGACCTCTGCTGTGCCCTGGAAGAGCTGTGCTCCCAAAGGAGGGATGAGTTCACTCTGAACACAGCGCAGAACATCAGGCCTTGGCTTAATGCTCAGCAGTCAGTTAATTGTGGTTAATTATTTGTGGTGGCTTTGTGATGGAGTCTCAACTGTGCTGTGGGAAATGAAAAAGGACCATCAGTTTTAAGACCAAGACTTAGTGCAAGATGGAAGATGGAAAGATGAAAATCCCTGTGCTAAAAATCCACTGAGTATGCTCAGAGCATGAATATTACGAGAACTTTATGAGCTCCCTTCACTTTGTCTGGAAAAAGTAATATTCAAGACCTTGGTATTGGTGAATATTAGGATATTTYGCTGTGAATACTGAATTCCTGAAATATATCAATTGCTTTCAACTTCCTACATCCCTGTATAATTCTGAAAAGAATTCTGAAAGTGTTGATTTACTCATGGAATAAGGAGTAGGTTTTAATGGAAAAAAGTAAATTTAAATACTCAGACTGAAAGAACATTCTTACCCCTTTATGGGTAATGGAAAGAAAAAAAGAAGAAAAAAGAGGAAAGTTATTTCTACTATGAAATCACACTAAGGACGGAATTGGTTTTATTTCAAAAACAGGAGTTAAAATAGCTGCCTGTGTGTTTGCTTATTACCCCCTAGTCAAGGTCAGCAGATTAGAAATATTTGGCATAAATCATGTCATGAATTTGTGGTGCCCAAACTGAGGCCCAGAGTTGTATAATTTTCATGGAAATGTTTTGAAAGAAATTACCTGGGTGAGTTTTTCGCAACTCTTAACATACCAGGGAACTTAAAGAGGACTGGCAAAAATGTGGTGTTTCTCCATAATTAAAAATAGTAAATCATAGCCTTGACCTTATTGTTAAGCAAAATTGAAAAGCAGCTGGAAAAATAYTCAGTCAAAGCAGGATAATCTGAGAATTGCACCTAACACAAGTTTATAGAAAATTAATCTTGTCCCAATAACTGAGTTTTTTACGAGTTGATTGATGCTGTACAGTGAAAATTCTTGCCCTCAGTACCTTTAATACCATTACAGTTCTTTAGGGAGAGGCTGATGAAATCAGTCAGCTTCCAGTGTGGGTAGGATCAGCTTCTGTCTGCTTGCAGATGCTGTGTACACAAAATCACTTTCAAATGCTTGTTCTAGCCCCTTTTACATTAATTTGTGACAGATTTATTATGTCTTTTTGCATGGAGGAGGAGAACATAGGATTAGAAGGCATCTCCTAGGTCATTCCATGCAGTCCTCTTCCTCAGCTGCGACCTATAATCACATTTCTTAAATTTATCTACCTCAGTATTGAATTTTTCAGGGTTTTTTTATTCATGCCATTCCTGATAAAAGGCATCTCAGCCGTCTGATGATTACAAACCATCTATTACCCACTGAAAATTGAACCACATGCCCTTTTTTCTAATATACATCCAACTGCCCAACAAAGGCATTTAATCTGTGTTTAAAGACTTTAGGCAAAAATAATTTGTATTGATTTACCTTTCTTCGCCAGTAAACTCAAGGATTTACCATTTTTGTTACACTTTTAAATTAAAAGAATGGAAACGTAGGTGATAATGGTGCTTAATAAAGTCTTGTTAAAATTAAATGCGTTGTCAGGTCATATTTTAGCCAGTGCCTTTTGCCTCACTTCATTATTCTTCATGCTGAATCTGAGGCTTTCAAAGAGGGAGTATTTTCTATGAAATTTTTCTCTTGTTGATCGTAAACGCAACACAAGATGAGGTGAGTATAGGAAGCAGAACCAGAAGGAATCCTCTTACCAATTCATAGAAAACATAAAATTGCCTGTGTGTGAGCTGCAAATACCTCATACAATGGCTTTATTTTATTTTTCTTGTAGAAGTACTGGATAGTAAAAAGCATCAAAGAAGGAGATTCAAAAGGTGTTAAATCAGTTAATAGCTATGCTTACTCTTTAACCTTTTAGGTGCTTTTAGTAAGAATTTTTCCAGCTTGAAATCGTTGGAAGTCTGTCTTTGTAAGTAGAAGAAGATCCATGAGTTCCTACCCGCAAATGGTCAGCTGTGATCTGAAGCACGAGGAATGTTTAATATCCCATGGAGGCCATTCTGTTCCCAGTATTCGTCTCCCAAAACTTAGCCAACAATTTACATTTGGGGTGTTCAAAACGTTGGAGATGTCCCCAACCAAGGACTGATTGTACATGTCCCGCATGGTTGTGGTGTCCAGCTCCAAATCCTTCACGAAAATTCAAAATTCASATTTTCTGGGCTAAACACTTTCACGTCAACCAGATGTCATTTATTTGCAGTTGTCACTACAGGCTGGCCTTTCCATGGTAACCTTCTTCTGGTTTTGTCACTTTTTTTCCTGTAGATGCTTTTGTTGGAGGGATCATCGGCCTCATTTTCGCTTACATTTGCTACAGACAGCACTACCCTCCTTTGGGTAACACAGCCTGTCACAAATCCTACGTCAGCCTGCTGGATCAGAACTCAGTGAAGAAAGAAGAGAGACCTACAGCAGATAATGCTACTGGGCTGCCTCTGGAGGGAATAACTGAAGGTCCCGTATGACTTTTGAGAAATGTGCAGAATGAACTTTTAGCCTTCTCACATTTCCTCCAACYGGTCCCTTAACAGTGGTTCTTACTGTACATTATTTCCTTTGTTTCTTTCCTTTTTTTTTAAAGAGAAGTTAAATATTTTATTTTTAAAGCCACAATATCACCGTACTTTTAAGTTTTCAGTTCGTATTGACTTGCTGAATTCTCTGTTTTCAGTCTACTGCTAACAGGTAGACTACGTGAGGGAAGGRGAAAGAGCTTTGTTAAAAAAAAAAATCCCATGTGGAGAATGGTTAAGAGAGTAATTTTGGGATACTAGACCTGGAAACAGATTTTCTGAGTATCTGAGTATCTTCTACCAAGWTACCAATTTTCTGATTTTCTGGGTATCTTCTACCAAGTTCTGGTCGTCTCCAGCACTCATTGATTTCGATGGTGGCGAGTACATGGCACRCTTTTCATCAGGTGTTCAACATCTGTAATTTGATAATTTAGGGCATCATCTTTATGTTTATCTTGCTGCCTTCTGACATTAAAAAAAATCTCCACCTGCTGGCAGAAATTTGTATTAATTACCAAGTTTTGAGAGGTCATTCTGACTACTAATGAGTAAGCAGGCGAAGGATGTGGAGAGTGAGGTGCCTGTGAGAGCCAAGCCTCGTGTGTTARTAGCCCCAMAGGATGATTCTCACATTCAAGAAAKTCTATGCTGTTAAAATTATCAACTTAGAACAACATATTGTGTTCACAGAATGGATTAGAAACTTGKTATTGCATCAGCAGCGATTTTTTGAGAGGTGTTGCTGTATTTACCATCAAAACAAATTGAAAGAAAAGAGCACCCGTTGCATTTAACAAGCTGAAGGCTTTCAAACAAATGCTTAAAAATCCCTAAAAATGGGAGGATAAGGAAACACAAAGTTTTCTGTGGATCTCAGTGTGCCATGTTCATTTTTGTGTAGTGACTCACTGCAGCATTGGTGACCTAAGCAAAAGAAATGCAAAGATTTTAATTTGTGACTTTGGGAGCGCAACCACGAATGCTTGTGGTGGTTTCCAGCACTATAAGGTATCCAGAGGAAGRCTGGAGACAACTTTCCACTGTCCCATCCTACATTTTGAGCCCTCCACGCTCCTGGGTGTGGTGTTTGCCAAGGTTGGTGCCTGAATTGGAGCTCACCTGAATCAATCCACTGTTGGTGTGGAGAAAGTTAATTAATCAGTGTGTGACCTTCGTTAATTTATTATTGGTAGGATTCCGTTTGTTGCGTGTGCACTCTGCAGAACRCATTCCTGTGAAATGATGTCCCTGTGGATGGCATGATGTCAGATCCCAGGTTTTTTCTCCTTAGGTATCCTGTGACAATGCAGGCAGAACATCCCAGCCCACCCYGGGCAGTGGAACATTTCCTGGAGCAATCACAGCGACGTCGATCAGTGACCACAATTACGGTGCTTTGGACTGGAGGACACTGCTGCCATGACCCCAATTTCTGTGTTCCCGTTGGAATATTGGCCTTGTAGGCATTTTGTGACTCGAACAGCTCAATGTCTCCATGTAAGGCTTGCCATTTACTTTCCTCGAAGATAAGCTTTGTAGATTATTTTTTTTTTTTGTAAAGAGCTGCTTCCTGATTGGCAACACTTGAAATTTTTTACCAAAAGCAAGCGAATTAGGATCCCATTAAAAATAAACCTAATAATTGTGTACAAGAGGATGCGACCTTGCTGTGTATAAACTTATATGATATTTGGAAATGKCTATAAATAGGAAATTACATTAAGGAGCAGAATGTAGCTGGGAAGGGTCTGTAGAAATCAGGCTTTGTAAAGCTGGTACCAGTKTAACTGTGTCAGAGGGAGGATATTTTACTGGCATTTACAGAATTCTGAGCTCTACAACAGAGGCAGTCAAATATAGCTGTGGTTTTCCTGGTGAATRCACACCAATTCACAATACCAGCATCAGCAAAGCAAAATTATTTGGCATTTGCACTGGATTTGASAGAACACTCCTCTGGTCTGACTGAGATTCTAGAAATCCACGGAGTTTAAAGGAGGCTTAACCTTCCTAAAAAGTTTCTAAATCATCCTACAGAATTCTGTAACAAATAAGTTTTCTATGTCTTCATAAGGGAGGATTACTGAAAGCCCGAGAGTCAGGGTCAGGCTTAGCCATTAGCTCTTTTTTTTCAGCAGGAACCCTAGTCTTCCAGGTTATATGCAAATGTTAAAAAAAAGAAATAAAATAAAAACCTTAAATCGAAATTAGAAATTTAATACTGATGCATAGAGCATTTTGCATGTTTTTATATAGATCTGGCTTGTTCTCAAAATTGAGTGGGGCCTCCTAACTGTGCTGTACACATTCCCAGTGTTTTAATGGCTTTTGATACAAACAAGCTGTCTTCTCTGGGATGGGGAAAGCTCACACAGCCCTCAAGTGAGCAGTGGCTGTTAAAAGATTGGAACATGAAGTGTAATTCAGCATAAAAACTGAAATTGCGGGAGCAATCGGTGAACTTGGAAAAGCGGTAATGAACAACWCGTCTTAATGGGAATAATTAAATCGAAAGTCATAAAGCAGGCATTGTAAAAGGTTTGATTAAAATGTAATTAAAATTATGRAAGGCTTAATGGAATGAAGCTTGTGGAGGGGTCTGTAGGTGCTGTAATCACCAGGGTGAAGTCAGTGTAGGGAAGGCATTTTTGTGGATCAGTGTATTTTAATCTCATGCTTTCTCAATGTGAAGGAAATGTAACGTTGTAATGCACCAATAAAACAACACATGAATGTGGGTTTGTACATCTGCGTGTTATCTTTTTTATTGTTGAGAAGAATAAAACTGAGCAAGTTATTTTCGTTAATAAGCCATGCAGAGCATCACAAAAAAAAAAAAAAAAAAAAAAAAAAAAAAAAAAAAAAAAAAAAAAAAAAAAAAAAAAAAAAAAAAAAAAAAAAAAGCCCTAAAGTGACTGCATTATTGATAAACAGTCATTACTGATGCCATTAAAATGGAGCAGCCTCCCTCCTTTAAACAAAATAATGTTTTCCAGCTTTCCTCCAGGAAAAGGTACAGTCTGAGTCTGCAAGGCTGAAATTCTGGAATTGTTACCTGGATTGTTACAACAGGTCCCTTTCTGTGTCTCAAGTAACTCTGCAAGTGCTGTATTTAATAACAAATGTGGTTAGAACAGGAGAACAATGTCAAATCAAACACAGCAGGAATATCCTGGAACCATGGGACTGCCAACCAGCACAATGTCCCCACAGTGAATGCAAATTGCAGGCAKAGAGAATTTGGGCTGATTCATTCACATTTTGTTGCTTTTTTCTGAATTGGCCTTCTATTTTTTTTTTTTCCATGTACATAGAACAAGTTATTTCTATTTCATATGGTRAGAGAACCTGATTTTCCTTCTTTCTTTTTGTGGCCAAAAATACTTTGCTATGGGCTGGAGGGAAAAGCCCCACACCTGTGAAAAAAGCCATATTTTTGTTTTGTGCTGCTAAAATTCTAATAACTTGGGGAGAACTGCTCTGGACCTCTGAGCACATCATATCCTATAGGTGAAATAAAGCTTTCACACAGGTTTTTCTCACAGTCCTATATATTTTTAATTTTGTCATAAAATTGCTAAGCAGGACCATGTTGGTCAGTCAGGAGCATCACCCACAGGCATTATCTGAAATCATATTTCTTTTACCCTTCTTTACAAGATATAAGGTCTCATCTGCTATCTAGGAGTACATTCTGATAGAATGCCTACATTRCTGTCCTAAGAGGCTAAAACTAAATTAGAAGTTTCCACTAGGATGCATCCAGTTGAATTCAGTTTATTAGATAAACTCCTGTTCTCCAGGTGTGCAAATTGCTCCCTGCTCAGGAACTTGCTCTGAACAGAGAAGAAACATTATCATATTGCCGTTAAATKAAAATTTGCTAAACATGTCTAAAATGAAAATAAACAGGACTGGGCGGGTGACTCCTGATGCACTAAACAATCTTTTTGCAGATGCTTGGCATGTTGGCAGAATGCTGCAGGATTTTCGCTTGAACTTGCAGAAATAACCAAAAAATATCAGCTTTCAGACTGTTCAGGCCAACTTTGGACCTTGTTTGAACCCAGATAAGTGTAATAAAACAACTGAGCTGCAACAGATATAACTGTGAAGTTACAGAAGTGAAGATCTGCCCATTATTATCTTGAGCTTCACTCTTTTTTTTTTTTTTTTCTTCTTTCTTCTTWAAATCAGTGTTTGTGTTCTCCTATCTGCCATTAAATGCAGGGCAGCTTTTAACTCAAGGTGTACCGGCCTATAACAAATCAAAATTATTAATCTCTCCCATCCTTACTTTTATGGAGTGATTATTCTGAAGAAGCCAACTGGGTTTCTGAAAGTGTATTTATTTAATACTTACAGTCATTTCTCAGGAGTTATAAAGAACTGTTAGGCAGGTAAATACGTGTTTTGCCATAATGTTGTCCTTGGAAAAATAAAGAGGAAAAGTTGTGCTGCTCCTGCTTTAATCTTTCTGTAAAACTGCAGCCGTGAGAGGGTGGTTAAATGAGTTTAATGGCACTGGTAATGGCTGTGCAATAAGAAGCATTTATAAAGCAGTAAATGCAGCTATGAAGAAAGGTGCTCACGAGGTAATTMATAGAGGAGTGCCTCGTTAGGCTGTGATAATGCACTAAATACCCAGAGTCGGTGCCATAATTAATATTACTGCTCAGAATTCCATGTGATCTGCAGCCCCCTCCAAACCTGGGGAAATAAATCATATTTTAGGGGCTGTGAGTTTGCTTTCACAGCTCTGCCTTTGCTGGTGGTGCTGCTGATGCTCACCCAGGTCCATCAGCATCGTGGAGAATTTGTTTAAACACCAGAACTAACAGGGGTGGTGGGATCCAAAACAACCCTGTGACGGGAATTTCAATGGCTGTGCTGGGGGAGACTGGGACAAAAATACATCTTGCTGTCAGCTGAAGTAGACTAAAAGCTTTTCTGTCATTTCCCCGTCCTGGTGAATCTTCACTTAATTTCAAAGGGAGGCAAGAGGTATAATTGACTCTGTGGGTTTGTTAAAGGGAAAAAGGTTGGGTTCAAAGGGGGCAGCTGATCACACAATGCTCAGGGAAGTAGAGAAAGATTCACAGACACTTTTCTCTTCTACCCCTGCCCTCAGTGYAGCATCACAACTCATTTTATGCTCCAGTGAGGTGCTTTTAGGAAACACACCGTGCTTTTCTTCAAGCTAAACTGTGCGTTTGTATTTTGGGTCATTTCCAAACCCTTGCATTAGTGCCCTCAGTAACTGCTGTGAGCTAATGCTWCTACCCAGGARAAAAAGAAAAAAAGGTCTAGAAGCTGAGCTTTGAGGTGTGAGGTTTTTTAAAAATGGTCCCTCAGTGCCTTTAGTGTGCAGGGATTGCTCACTGCTATTAAACACTGATCCCCCACGGTGATTATTTGAGAAAGTGAGAGCTTTGCAGGAGAATTTCCCTTTTYTCAGTTAAATGATGGTTTCTGGTTTGCTCCCAGGAGCTCAGGCTGAGCAGTTCAGGTTTTACCCAGAGAGGCTGGAACTGGCTCTGTAAACTGAGCCAGGTTTCACTCAACATCAGCCCCTTAAATGAGATTTAGGGGCTTTTTTTTTATGGCCAACAGACTGCTCTGTGTTTGGGTTGCTCTAGAGAAAGTGTTAAACTTCCAGCTGCAAGTGAATCCTGACTGTGATCAGGACAAATACAGATATCTGCCTACAAACCTGATAAAGAAAAGTTTRTACTCAAATTAATGTGGTGATTAGGAAAAAGAATTTCCTTTGATCACCACTGAAATCAGTGGAGGCCAAATCAATTTGGGGGATCCTGGCATCAATACTGTGCATTATTTTTTGTGAATTTGTCTGTGGCAAGGTATGGCAGGGCTCCTAAAAATGTCATCATGAACTCAAAATAGTTCTTTACGTGAGATAAACTTGCCTGGAGCCTAAAAGTGGGTCAGTCAAATTGTTCCATTTCAACAAATCTTAATATCAATTATTCAGACTGATAGTCAGGGTCTGATGCAGGCTTTCACTCTTTCCTGCTACAGGAAATGCATGGAAAAAATCTTAWCCCTGCACTGCAAACCTTGAGCCTGGGACTGGAAAAGGGATTCTCCTTCTTGGGAACCTGGACTTGAGCAGGAAACCTGTGGGATCATCTCCTCCACAGTGTAAGCCATCAATAATGACCTGCTGCATCTCATCKGGCCCAAATTAATGTTCACTAATTGCTCTACAACACAGCAATTCAGGAAATACCTTCCTGGGAATGAAGGCTGGTGATTTGTCAGGGATCACAATGAGCTCCAGAGGTCACTTGCTTGGGTTTGTCAGCACCACATGTTTGGCAGGATGTTAAATGTGAGGCTAAATTAAATTGTTATATCCAGCGTTGCAAATCACCTCTTAAACACCCAGAAATGCAGCTTTGTGCACAAAGATGAAATATGGGAGTGTTAGGGATCTGTAAAAGCAGTTTCTGGTGTCGTGGCTGGGGTGGCAGCCCTGGGTGGGTTTCCAYGGGATGCTGCTCCTGGCCTGGCTGAGGGACAGCAGGGACAGTGGGATCAGCCACCAGCACTCAAACAAAACCTGCAGGGACTGGGGGCTTGTGAGGCAGAGTGTGGTGTGGGACTGAGGTACAGATGTCATCCCTGGAACACCCTCTGGGCATTCAGGGCTATCCCCACCCCATGACAAATCTCCTACAATTTCCCAACCTGCAGCACTGATTAGGGAYCTTGACACCAGCAGGAAGGACTGTGGTGACATTTCCCTCCCCTCTAGGCCTCCATCTGAAATAATTCATTAATTTCAATCATTTCTGGAAGAACACCTTTAATTTTTCCCACTTTGTGCCTCCTGGCAGAGGAGAAACATCTCAAAGTATTTTATTGCTGTCTTTGGGATCCTCTCCTTTGTGTACGCTCCAGGACAAGAACATCTGGAAAGCTGCAGACAGTGACACGAATAAATGATCCTGCAAACTTTTCCCATCCCTCAAACCACACAGTCTGAATTTGCAGATGGATTTGTCTCTCCTTGGCTGGCTGGAAATGCAGTAATGACTCCCTGGCTCCCAGCTCCATTTAGGATATGGGAAGTTGGCTGCTGCTTGTCTTTTTAGCTGCTGGCCAAAATTAAAATCAGAGCAATGTGTGAGGTACAATAGAATTATACAATGTGGCTGCAGTAGAGATCAGACCCTGAAACTGTGAAATACCTGGCASAGCCTGAAATGAAGAGAAAATAAAATAAAGTAACAGGAACCAAGGCAGTGCAGAATGGAATTACCTGTGTAGGCACCTCTGCATTAGAAAAGGGAAATCTCTAATTTATTCTTATCTTGTATATTAAATTTCACAGAACCAAGCACGTTTCACTTTTCCAGCCAACCCTTGCAGGTAACATCAGTATTTTGCAYGTAACCATCAGAACAGTGTTTTAAAGAGAATGTTACTTCATAAAAACAAAATTAGTTGCTCAGACTTATTTTCATGGCAGCTTATGTGAGTTCTGCTGTCCAGGGAAAGTCTGCATGGTGCTATGAAAATGGATCATTTCTGTGACTCTGAAGAAGGAAGGGTTTGCAAAAGCAAAGACCCTGAGGACCACAGACTGTTAAAAGCTCCTCAGAGCTTTTAATGGTCAGCAAATACAGCAAATACCACCAGATGGGTTTGGGCAGGAGCTGTAAATTCTGCCTTCCTGAGTGGTGCTCCTGCACCTCTGGAGTTTTCACTGAC